CTAGACTGAAGAACAAAAGGACAGCAACTTGTCTGTTCCCCTTCCCCCAATTCCCCAGCACTGTTCCCATCCCCCCAACTCCCCAATAAAAATCTTTAAAAAAAGAATGAACAGAAATTAATCATCACAGAGAAGAAAAATAAACCACAATGATATATTACCACACATCTGTCAGACTGGCAAAATTAAAGTGTCTGACAATACCAGGCATTGGCAAGAATGTGAAGCAAAGACAACTCATTCATTACTGATGGGAGAGTAAACTGGTATAAATACTTCAAAAAAACAGTTTATCAGTGTGGTAGACTGAAAAAATGTCCTCCAAAAGATGTCCATGGCTTCATTCCTGGAATCTGTGAATGTTATTATATGTGGCCAAAAGACTTTGCAGATTTGATAAGTAAACATTTTGAGATGAGATTATCCTGCATTATTTGAGAGAGCCCTAAATGCAATCACAGGTAGCCTCACAAGAGGGAGGAAAAGGGAGATTTGATATGGAAGGAAGAGGAGGAAATGTGACCACAGAAACAGAGATTGATGTGGCCACAAACCTAGGGATGCTGGCAGCCACCAGAAGTAGGAAGAGGCAAGAAATAAATTCTTCCCTGGAGCCTCCAAAGGGTGTATGGGTCCAACAATCTTAATTTTGGCCCAGTGGTACTGATTTTGACTTCTGGCCTCCAGGACTATGAGAGGATACATTTCTGTTGTGTTAAGCCACCAAGTTGTGGTAATTTGTTACAGCAGCCCTAGGAAACTAACAAAGGCAATATCAACCAAAGCTCAACATGCTTGTACCCATGTCCAGCAATTCCGCTTCTAGGTATATCCCAACAGAAATGTAAGCATTAGCTCACCAAGAAACGCACAAGAATGTTCACAGCAGCATTATTCAGGACAGCCCCAAACTGGAAACCACCCAAAGGTACATGGACAGTGCAATGCGTGGACTACTTGTGGGATGTTCACAAAAATGAGTCAACTACAAATAAGCACATGGAAGAAACTCACACCCCCAATGTTGAGCAGAAGAAGCCAGACACAACAGAAAACATATTGTATGATTCCATTTATGTCAAGTGCAAAACGATATAAAATTAACTATATCACTGAATGACATAAAAGCAAGGAATTGCTTCTGTCAAAGCCAGGATAGTGTTCCCACCTAGGGAAAGAGGGAGGTTGTGATCAGGAGAGAGAGCATGACAGAAAGGTTGCAGGGTGGGGGGCTTCTGGTAATGTATTCCTTAATGGGGGAGGCACAGGTATTTGTCAACTTATTCATTGTATGTTTGTTTTATGCACTTATCTGAATGCTATATTTCACAATTTAAATGTATCTCGGTGGTGATAGTGGTGGTAGTGTTAATTTTTAACAGCATGAATGGGGAGCTTCCCAATCCATGAAACCTTCCTGGGTCACTCCATCCAGTGTCCCTGGGGTTCTTCCAGCCTCTGCTGCTTGTCCAGTCACTGACCACTCTGGGCTGTGACCCATGGTGTCCCAGTCTGGCTCATCCACCAGAACAAGAGCCAGCGCCCAGGCTAGAGTCCTCGACAGGGTCCCCAGCAGAAGCCAGTCCAAGGCCTGGCCCTTGGAGGGCCTCAGGGGAACCTGTGCTGCCATGCCCCAGGCACACTGGACCCGCCTCATGTTGTAATTCTCAGGGCCTGTTCCTTTCTGCTAGCATGAGGAAGCAGATGACTGCAGACCGAATGGAGGGGTGGCTGACTACACCACCACTTTGGCTCTGTCCATCTGTCTCTCTACATCCCACTCAGTTCCCTAAAGTTTTCACGAGATCTGTTCTCTGCCCGGAATGCCCCCCCTCTGTGGTTCTCTTTAACTCTTACTCATCCTTCAAGAGCCAGCTGCAGGCTCCTCTCCTCTGGGAAACCACGGCCCCCCTTCCTCTGAGCTCCGACAGGCCCCTATTTCCCTTGGATGCAGCCTATCCCAGGCCTTACCCCACAGAATCTGTCCCAACGCCTGAAGCTCTTTGATCTTCCTGGGTTATCCTCAAGGCCTGGGTCTGACCCACTTCTGGGCCTCAGGGGTCTGTTGGTCAGCCCCTGCTCCAGGTGCAGGATTTCGCAAGCCCAGGCAGGTTCCACAGCACTCATGTGCTCTGCGAGGCTCAGGAGGTGCCAGACTTAGCCTAAAAGTGCCCACCACAGCACCTGCGCGCGCTCTTGGGGCCTCCAGGTTAGGCTCCCTAGCTTCCTGCACGCACGTGCTAGCCTAAGAGGTGGGTCCCACGCTTAAAATGGTAAAGCGGTAGGAACCTAAAGAAAGGGGCGGGTTGCAGCAGAGGGCAGACAGAGACTGTGTGTGGAGAACCTAAAGAATGGGGCGGGGCTAAGACTGGCCCTGGAGTTTGTAGCGTAGAACCGAAATCCAACGGGGCCTGAATCTTGTCCACTGGGGGATAGTGGGCCCATGGCTCACTAGAGGTGAAGAGACAGGCACCATGGCCTAAGGGAGAGGCGGATCCTGGAATTTAGCCCAGCGGAGGCCAGACAAGCTGCAGCTCTGACACTTAGCACAGTAAGCCCCAAGTAAAGGAGTGCCCCAAATCTCAGTAGACCGTGAGAAGAAAGCCTACTCTGGCTCAAGCCTACTCAACGGAAGGAGAAAGGGCGCAGAAGCTCCTGTCTCCCTCCCCAACCTATCTTGGTCTACTAAAGGAGGGCTGTTCTCTTATCTCAGTGCTGCTACTTTATCCCTCAGGCAAGTCACTACCCCTCTCTGAGCCCATTTCTTGCCAAAATGGGGATAAAATCCCTACTTTACACAAGGGGCTAAGTATTAAATAGATCTTGAGTAGGTACCCAGTAGACCTTGGCTCCCTCCCTAGTACAGGGGGTCTAGGGTTATACAGCAACTAGCTGGACTAGGTCTTGACTCCTGGACAGGACTCAACTCCTAGACATGCCCCTTTATCCCTCTACATCAACACGGGTCAAGGGGCCAGGATAGGTTCGGTTCCCAGGGGTGGGCAGGTGCATCCCTTCCCCCAGGAAAGGCCAGCAGTTGGAAAGCCCTGCCTACCCCACCCCTGGCTCCCTTCCCCCTCAGGAAGGAAAACCACTGGTATTGTGTAAGAATTTGAGTTCCTAAGCCCATAAACAAGGGGTGGGGAAAGAGCAGAAGCCACAACCTCCTGCAGCCACAGGACAGTAGGAAGTGTTTGGCCTCAGGAAGAGTTAGAAAAGAGACCCAGATTTGAGAAGGTGACTGTCCAGAAGGTGAGAGGGGTGGGGAGCCACCTGGGGAGGGATTCCAGGCAGAGACGCCTGGCTGCTGATTTGGTTTCCAAACCTCTGGGCTCTGTCAGCCTTGCAGATAGCTGACCCACCTCACTGAACTAGTTAAAAATACAAGCACTTCCAAGGAACAAAGCATGTGCGAACATGCTGGGAGTGTTTATGACTCCAAGGCAGTACTTCCTCTCACAGATGAGGAAACTGAGGCCCAGCGAGGCGGGCCAGCCTGTGGTAGCAGCTGGTCGATAACCTAGCATCCTGCCCACCCTCCGGTCTGATACGATACTGAGCCATGAACTTCAGGATTGGTACCAGACCCAGGCTCTCATCAGCTCCTTCCTCCAGCCCATGAAGAAAGAGTCCTAGGGAGCCTCGATGCCCACCTATGCCCCTTCCAGGGCAGTTTTATTGGTGCCATTTGTAAAAGACCTTTCCCATCAGCCCCCAAGCCTTTGCTTTCTCTTTCTGCGAATGCAGCTGGCTTCTGGTCCTGACCCCACGGGGAATAACACACTTGGTCTGATGCTGCTGCCACACGTGACACTCTGGGTGCCGGTCCTTGTGCAAGTCCATGTCCACTCTGGGGAGAAGGAGAAGGTAGGCCAGGTCTGTGTGTGGAAGCTGGGCAGAGCCCTGGCTGGCTGTAGAGTTGTGTGGACAAGGTGAGCAGGTGCGCCCTAGCTCTAGTGCCCAGTGTGGCTGAAGCCCTAGCTCTAGTGCCCAGTGTGGCTGAAGCCCAGGGGTGGGTGCGGGAAAATCGGAGATCCTGAGAGAGAAGCCCTTAGGCCGAAGAAGTGTATGGAGCAGGCAAGCACAGGAACCAGGGGAGATCTCCATGGGGGCAGTGTGTGCACACAGCCCAGGGTCGGGGACACGATGTGCAGGGGGCCTTTGGTGAATGTGTGGCTGTGTCTCCTTCCCTTTGGGATCTGCATGCCCGAGCCCCTGGCCTCCTGAAGCTGAAGGAACACACCTGGGGGTGGGGATGGAGTGAGGTTGGAAAAGAAACTCAGCTGGAAGTGGTTTACGCCTCAGAGCCCACATCCTGTCGGAAGAGCTGTCAAGGCGCCAGACTATCAGGGGGCCTGGCCATCTGTCAGTCTGTCGCAGTCCTCAGAGCTGCGGGAGTGATGGTCCCCTAGTGGCAGAGATGGTCTTCGTCCTCCAGGGGAAAAGGTGGCCCGGAGGCTAGGAGGTGGGGTCAGTCCTGCCAGATCCAGGATCAGGAGGCCTCAGGTGGGCGCCGTCCCCCCTCCTCCTCCATCAGCAACAAGCGGCGCCGGCCAGCCTCGTAGTCGGCCTCGTCCACACTGACCAGCAGGCGGACAGCCTCCCGGCCCACGGCCTCACGCAGGGCCTCAGTTAGGAAAACGCCCCGCAGGGCCTGTAGCAGGGCACCACTCAGGTAGTCACCCCAGAAGGCGTCCAGATAGGAGAGCTCCGAGAACTTGATGTCGCATACCACAGAGCCCAGGTCTCGGGAGCGCAGCACTGCAGTGGCCTGCCCAAACACGTCCAGTTGCCGCGCCAGCGCCTGGGGCCGCCGGGACGCCACTCCCTGCTCCAAGGCCGGCCCATGTTCACAGTACTCTGCTCGCACCCTGAGCCGAATGTCTGTGAAGGAGGAGGGACTGGTCAGCGAGGGGCCGACACCGACACACTGCACAGGGGGACCAGGGGGACCGCCTCCTTCCCTTCCTCCCTCCCCCAGCATGGTTGCACTGCACCTGCCCCCACACCCTTCCCCCTTCTGATAACCACACCCAAGTATGGGTAACACCCTCACATGGCTTCCCTCCTGTGGTCTGGCCTGTTATCTCCTGACCTGGCCGCCCGCCTCCTCTTTCCCTCAGGTGCCCCACTCCAGCCTCACCACCTCCTTGCTTCTCCCCCCACAGCCAGGCAGGTTCCGTCTGGCCCTGCCTCTCTTTCACCTTGTGATGTTCTGTCCACAGAACTTGCTCCCTCACTTCCTTCAGGTCTTTGCTCACATGCCACCTTCCCAATGAGGCCTACCCCGACCACCCTGTTTCAAACTTTACCACCACCACCCTGGCCCCCAGCATTCCCAGTTCCCATACCCTGCTCCACTTTTCCCAAGGCACTTCTCACCTTCTCACCTTACTGTCATGCTTACCACCTGTCTCACCACAATGTGAGCTCCCTGAAGAATGGGATTTTTGTCTGTTTTATTCACTTGTATAGCTCTATGGCACACAATAGGTGCTCAATATATACTCATATTTGTGAAAGAACCAATGCATGAATGAACGGACTTGCCTTTAGGCAACCAGACTCACCCCTCTCCCACCCTTAAATAGTGAGATTCATTCACACAGGGCCAACCACTGCCCCAGCCCCCCACCCACCAAGCAAACACCAGGCCCAGGGGACTCGAGGCTGGAGCTGGGCTAGCTCTACTGGAACCAGGTGCTGTCTTTCCACAGAAGTTGCTAAGATGGTGAGCTGTAAGCCTGGAACTTCTGGGGGCCACTATGCCACCAGGAGGGGAAGAAATGCAACCTACACAGGGCCAATGATAGAGAAGGAATGACTTCTGAGCTCATCACATGAGTCCCAGAGCACCTAGAGTTCCAGCTACAATTTCTTTCCTTTTTGCTTAAGCCACTCTGAATTGAGTTTCTGTCACTTACAACCCTACCCTCATCAGCCCAAATGAGGTGACAGCTATGCACAGGGGACAGGACAAAGGACTTCTAAGGCTATCCTTGTAAATGTGACCTTGGGCATATCACCTCCCTTTGGGATTACTGAATTCACACCTCTGAAGAGGGACTACTAACAGAACCTACTCTCCACACAGGGCACAGGCAGTCCTGAGGATCAGCTCTAAGCTGGAAACACCACAGTCTACACCACAGAGCACTATCTGTCAGTCACCACTCCCAGTGCTAGACTCCTTTGAACTCACTGAATCCACAAAAAATGCTATGAGGCAGGCCCTATTATCACTCCCCATGTACAGAGGAGGAAACGGAGGCAAACAGAAGTGCAGTGATTTGCCCAACGTTGCATGGCCAGGCAGTGGCAGCACCTGACAGAGGTCACAGAACTTCCCATGTCCCCAGAGAGCAGCTTTGGGTCAATGAAGCAGATTCCAACCTAGGAGCTTCAGGCAGTGGCTGTGTTACCTGAGACAAGTCACGACCTCCCTGAACCCAGGTTCCTGCCTAAACCAGCGGACAGTTCCTGCTGTGAAATGTTGTTAAGAGGGTTAAAAAGAGCGGAGAATAGGGCCGGCTGAGTGGCTCAGTTGGTTAAGAGCTCGCCTCAAGAGTTTGAGCTCTAAGCAACAGCGGTTCAATTGCCAGCCCGAGCTGAGCAGCAGCTGAGCTGCCAACAGGTGGCAGGATGGCTCAGCTTTAAAAAAAAAAAAAAAAAAAAGGAGCGGAGAATAGAAAGGGGCTAGCTGGCACTGTGCACACACGGTGCCCAACAGGTGCTCCAAGAATGACAACTGCCAACAGCTCAGATGTGCCAAACGCTTTACCTCTGGGGATACAGCAGGATCAGCCCTGTGGGGCTGAGGCCACATTCAAACCATTTGACAGATGAAGAAACTGAAGCTCTGGGAGAGGAAGTGTCATACCCCGCCCTCCCTCCACCTTTCACAGACCGTGTCAGCACCAGAGCACAAAGTAGAAGGCAGGTTCCTGCTCCCTCAGATGACTTCTCAGTGTTACCCACTTCCTCCTCCCACCCCAAACCCTTCCCTTTCTGCCTTGAGAGGAACCTCACCCTCTTGTGCTCAAGGCTCAGGGAAACCTGCCTGGCCTTGGCCCCCAGGACCTCCCACAGCACTCAGGCCAGCTCCCTTCATCAAGGACCAGATAAGACCTCTGGGCCCATATCCTTGACTCCTATGAGTGTTTGACCATGCCCTCAATTGATGTGGGCCGGGGTCAGGGGACTGGGAGGAGCAGCACCTGTCCAAGGCCACATGGGGCTGCTCAGTGGCAGAGGCACAGAGCCAGGTGGCGGAGTCCGACAGACCTTGAGGTGAGTCCCGGCTCTGCCACACTCTAGCTGTGGGGCCTTAGGCATGTGACCTCACCTCTCTGAGCCTCAGTTTCCCCATCTGAAAAACATAAACAAACAAGAGGTCCCTACTACACGGTGGGATCATGAGGATTCAATGAGGCAACTTGTGAACTGCTTGACCCAGGGCCTACATCACACAAAGCACCCAGAAACAGGAACTGTGATTTCCACACCCACCTCTATTCCCACAGCCCCTGCCCAGGCCCTGCCCTCTCGCCTGGGCCCGAGCCAACCTCCTCCCTCATCTTCTCCTTCAATCCCAGCTACATCTTCCCATATCCTATCCTCCAGTCACAAGGGAAGTGCTCCTAGCACATGCCTTACTCACTCATAAAATGACCTACCCACCTCCTCTGCCCAGAAAATCCCCAGTCACCCACCATGTCCCACCCAGGTGAACCATCTCTCAGATGGCCTTTCTCCTCAGCACAGATAAGAGGTGGACAGAACCGGGGTGGGGCTGTGTGTGTCTTCTTCATTCTTTCATTCAAAAGCTATTTACTGAGTGCTAGGAACATGGGGATGGCACGAGCACCCTGCCACAAGTGGGACTGGAAGACACGTAACCCCCAGTTAGGGAGCACTTCCTGTGTGCCTGGCCCTATCCAAGTCCCTTCCCTAGCTTAGGCCCCGAAATCTTTACGACACCTTATTATCCCCATTTATAGAGGAGGAAATCCTTCACCAGACCACAGTCCAACCTCGGTCTAGAACACAGGAGGACAGCACACAGAGAGAGCGAGGAGCGGCAAAGGAGGAGCTAATTTATCTGAACCGCCCTAAATCACGGCATTTAGCACAATCTCTCCTTGACTCCTCACCAAAACAATTTAGTAACAATAGATGACACCTCTATAGTACTTACTACAGTCTGGCACACACTTCACACCTACTGACCCTTGTTGATCATCCCTGCAGCCTTATGAGGCAGTGCTATTATCCCCTTTTTGCAAATAGGGAAAATGAGGCACAGGGGATGAGTCACCTGCCCAAAGCCACAAAGGAAGGAAGGGGCAGAGCTGGAATTTCAACCGAGGTGCCTGGCTCCAGAGCCCGAGCTCTTAACCACCCCTATCCTGTTTGCTGCCTCTCACAACCATACACAGAAATCTATAATTAAAAGACATCCTGAGGGCAAGGACAGAAAATTATAGAGAGCAAGGTGTAATTTAGATTGAAACAATCAGAGAGGACCTCTCCAGGAAATGACACTGGAAGTGAACTGTGAAGGAGGACAAGTAGGTCAAGACAGGAAAACAGGAGAGAAGGGCAGAGTAGCATCCTCAGGACAGAGAATGTCACATTCAAGTCCAGAGGCAGAAAATGAACCTGGGGCATTCACAGGCTGAGGGCCTGTATGGCTGGATCACCGCGGAGGAGGAGGACACAAGGGCACAAGGGGACAATTAGAGAGGTGGGGCCAACCACACCCTGGCAAGCCCAGGGCAGGGAGTCTGGGACCTCCTGAGGTGACCACACATCTCTGCACTTCAGTGGCCTCCTCCGTGAGACGCCCTAACCCCAGCACCTGCTCTCAAGGGCCCGCTGTGAGGATTACATGACTGGATGCAGGTTAAGAGCTAAGGCCAGTGCCTGGCATGTAATGAGTCCTCCAAGTAGAGCAGGGTGGTCAGGATCAGGACCAGAACAGCAGTCGGGAAGGCCAAAAGGTGGCTGGCCCAGGATGGAAGCAGTAAACATGGAGAGAAGTGGATGGACTGGCCCAGGTGTGACAGTGAGGGGTGAAGCAGGAAGGGTACCTAGCATTCATGTGACCTGGGCTGGGGGCTGGCTGAGTTGTTTCCTGTGGCTAGAAATACCAAGTGTTTGTCAACAGTTCCTCTCCACTTGGGAAGCTGTAGGGAAATGTTCCCGGTCCGCAGGGCAGAGGGTGGGGTTATGTCTTCCTAGAGAGGGGAGCTGCTCCTGCTTTCTGCATTCGGGTGGGTCCCAGCACCTTCTTGTCCCCCAAACCCACACATCATCAGTCTAGAATGGGACAGAGAGGAAAATGGGAGGGACTTCCTAGTGGGGGACCGGAGAAGGTATGAGGGGCAGGCCCCAGGCCAGGTGCTGGGTATGGTTGGGGGCCAGAGATAATCTTACTCAGGTCTTCCCTCTGGGAGTTCCTAATAGAACAGCTGGAGACAAAGAGGGCCTGTGCTCCCATGGTGCATGGTGGAGGGAGGCAGCCAGTGTGCTACAATGGAAAGAAAGACCCCTGCCCTCCGCTGCCATGCCAGGGCCAGCATCGCCCTCCTCTGGACAACAGTAGGACCCCTCCCTTCCTCCAGTCTCTTCCCCAAGACACAGCCAGAGTCATAGCGTCAAATGTAAAGTTCTTCAACTTCTAATGAACTAATGGATCAAGGTAACCAGGAGAAGCTGCCACCAATGTCAGAGAAAGGTAAGAACACAATACCACCTAGGAAGTGAGCTTGAAAAAAACAACATCAAGCCAGAATCTGATCAAGCCTCTCCCATCCCAACTATCAATTTTCCGGAAATACAGACCACAGGGGAACCCATTCAATCAACCCTACCACGTGATGCAATTGGCAAAATCCAGTCTTTGGGAAAGGCTATGGGACTACTTTTAACAAATACAATGCAAGGGAATGGGGGAAGAGAGAAAACAAATGGCAGGGGAGTCTGACAGATCAGGAGAGACTTAGAAGAACCAATACGTATGAGATAATTGGAAATTTGAGCACTCATTAGACATTTGATAAAAAAAAATTGTTAATTTCCTTAGAGCATTTTTTTTTTTGGAAATTTTATTGGGGAACAGTGTGTTTTTCCAGGATCCATCAGCTCCAAGTCAAGTAGTTGTCTTCAATCTAGTTGTGGAGGGCACAGCTCCTTGGCCCATGTAGGAATCGAACCCGCAACCTTGATGTTATGCGCCTGCACTCTAACCACCTGAGATAACAGGCCACCCCTCTTAGAGCATTCTTATCTTTTAGAAGTACACAGTGAAAAACCTACACATGAAATCACAGGACACCTGGAACTGACTCCCAAATAAAATGGCTGGCGAAAGAGCATCAGCCACAAGTGACAACTGTTGAAGCTGGGTGACGGACAGCCAGGGTGCATTACACTAGTATGTCTGTTTCTGTATCTTCTACACAGAAAGCGTTGGGAAAAAAGCAAAGCACAGCGTGTCATTCAAATACTCCAATTACTTTCCATCATTTAAAAAATGTGAAGCCCTGGGCCTGCCAAATGGCACGTTGGTTAGGAGTGGGCTTGGGACGCTAGCTCTGAGCAGCAGGGCCCCGGTTCGGATCCCACATGAGGGCCAGTGACACTGCCCTCTACAGCTAAGATGGTGAAAAAAAAAAAAAAAAAAAAAGTGAAGCCCTGATCCATGGCTCACAGGTTCTGCGGATGGGCCTCTGGTCACCACTCTTACCTTTACCTTCTAGCAGCCTCCTTCTTCTTGTTTGCTCCCTTCGATTCAGCCCTGCCAGCTCCCCATCTCTTCACCACTGGCACATTCCCACTCCAGCCTTGGCTCCTGCTGTCCCCTCTATCTCAATTTTCTTCCCCAGCCATCCACACGCTCTTCTAAGACGCCTTCCTAGAATACCCTATCTAGAAAATACGTCTAAAACTGCATTCTCCATCACTCTCTCCTCCCTCGCTCTTTGTTTCTCTTCTCAGCTGACATCTGACATCTGTCTCCTGGCTTTCTCCTCCCACCAGAACTCAGGCTCTGTGAGGGCAAGGGCCTCCCATCCCTGCTGTGCCTAGCATATTGTAAGCGCTCTATAAATATATGTGCCAATTACCAAATGAACAAGGCCCAAGTTTCAGCCCAGCCCCACCCGACACTCTGTACAGTGTGGGCCGTCACCCCTATATCTCAACGCTATCTTGAGAATTCAAGGTCAGACAGTACCACACCCAGCACAGTGCCCAATGGTGTCCCTGAAAGGGACATGGAAACCCAGAGGTCCTGTGTCCAAGACCAGGACGCCCACCCCACCCGCCATGCCCCCTTCCTCACACTCTTGGGCCCTGGGGAGTTTAATCCGGTTCAACCCCTCATTGGAAGGCAGCTGACTGGGGGTCAATCAATCCCCACAGCTGTCACAGGTAAGCAGGGCACAAGAATGACAGGATCCTTCCTCACTAAAGTCTGGACAGGCCTCCGTCCACACTCCTGGGACTGGGCTTCGTTAAAGGTAAACCAGCTCCACTTTCAGAGGGGAAAACCAGGGCCTAACTGGGGAAGCCTCACTCCAGCCCCACCCTGCCTGTGAGTCAGCAGTCAGGCCTGTTTACCCATCCACCCATCAAGAGCCAGCCACACCCCACAAGAACCATCCTGCCCTCAAGGAAAAGACCTGATGCCTCCACTGGCAAAACCCCTCCCCAGCCTCAGCCTGGCCTGCTCCCTAGGGAGGCAGTGACTCCTTGGGCTGCCCAACCAGCCTGGTGGCTCTGGTAATTACCCAGTCAGGGCAGAGTCATGACCAGGCAGCCACCCCTTGAAGCCAGGGGCTGTTTGAGGTCACAAGCCGGCTCTATTGGTCTGTTCCTTCTGACTCGCCTGGCACAGGTATCTGCAGCCTCATCTATGGAACGCATGTAGTGCTCATGGTCTGAAGGGCCTCACCTGGGAGGCGGCAAACACTGGTGCTCTGTGGGCTGGAGGCGGCTCTGCAGGAGGAAGTACCCCGGTCTGTGAGGTATTCTGGACAATGTAGAGCTGCAACTTTGGACCTTCCCACCTGTAATTCCAGCCCTCTCACCTCCACCTGAGTATCTCACCACTGATCCCCTCTATGTCCACAGGCTTGCCCAACTCAGAGGACGGGGTATCAGAAGTGGGCAGGGGGCAGTGTGTGAGAGATGGTATGTCCACCCAGGTCTATGTCCTCCCCTGAAGACCAGGTGGAATTTCTCAAAGGCAAGGTCTGGGCATGCGTCTCCACAGCAGAGCCCCCAACCCGCCCAGCTCAACCTGTCTACAGGTCCATTCAGCCCGATGTCCTTATTTCTTTACTCCAGCCCCCTTCTCACCCTCTTCACTGTGACCACCCCAGATCAAACCTCTCCTTCTCACTGGACTGTGAAACCTCATCATCCATTTTCCTGCTTCTACTTTGTTTAATTTCCTTAACATGCACCCAACAGAGAATGTACCATGTGTCTGGAGCTGTTCTAAGTACTTTACAAATCCTAATTCATTTATTAACTGGCTTTCCAGATGGGGTCAGAGTGCCTTTAAAAACAGCTATCAGATCACCTCACCTCCCCCCTGCTCAAAACCCTTGATAGCATTTGATTCATGGAATAAAATTCAAAACCCCATCCGCTCTGAGGCCTGCCTGGCTCCTCCACCGGGTCCCCACCCTCTCTTCATGGCACTTACTATCGAGAGTGAGCTTCAGTTTCACTGGTTTGTCACTGTACTAGAAAGAGGGTCCCCTCGACAAAGGGCAGGGACCTTACTGCTATTCCCACCCCAAGCACATGGCACAGTCGCAGTGAGAAAATTGGTATGTAGAGCAAAGTTCGAGGGAGGCACAGTTCCGATTATATTACGGGTGTTAACTCATTTTCTTTCAACAACCCTGGTTGGAAGATACCATTATCAGCCTCATTTTACAGCGAGGAAACTGAGGCACAAAGGGGTTCAGCACCTTGCCCAAGATCAAACAGCCTATTAAGTGCCAAGGCCAGGAGGTAAATCAGGCAGCCTGTCACAGGGTCCTGTTTGCATCCCTGCATTATCCCACCCCTGCAAAAGAAAGAATTGTTGAGTAAATATACCCCTGCAAAGGTTGGCTGAATAAACTAATGAAATTGGGGCCAGGCGGCTGTCAGGGAAGGTTTCCTGGAGGAAGTGACATATGACGTGATCCTTCAGCTATGAACATGATGTAAGTAAGCAAGATGGCAACAGAAAGGACAAGGATCCCACTGTTTTAAACAGAGGGATGGGAGCCACTGCTCACCCGCTAGGTGTCAACTGGTGTGCCATACCTCAGACCCATGCCCGCTCCTACTGTCCTCTGGCTCTGCAGCCTGCCACAGGCACTATATATGCATTCCCCAAGGCTCACAGACACCTACCACAGGTCACTTTGCCTTCTGAGGCAGGTCTGGTAGGCTCCTGCTGTTGCTGGGGGGCGACTGGGCCTCCTCTCCGCCGCCGTCTGGCACCACCACTGGGCCGGCCCCGACTCCGCCGCTGCCGCTTGGTCGGAGGGGAGCCTGAGGAGAGAAAGATGGGGTAATTGAGGACCAGAATGATAGGTAAAGCACCAAGGCGGGTGCCCAGGGAAGAGCTTGAGGCTGGTGAGGCCCTCTGTTTCCTGGGCCTCAGAGGCCTTGTCCATAAGATGGGGAACAAGTATAACCTAGCATCAACTAGAAGGGCAGACCAGCATGACCCCCCCACACACACACACACATACACACAGGACTCCCACTCCCAGGTGTGACCCTAGAGAAACCCCTGCATGCTCACACCAGAGGACCAGCATGGCAACAGCCACTGGGGCATTGTTGATAGTTATTAACTGCATACACTGAAAATAATATAAATGTCTGGCAAAAAGAATACAGAGTAATTTACAGGATAGTTTGTTTAGTGAAGGACAGCAAGGTGCAAAAGAAGTGTCTACAGTTTGCTATACTTCACTTAAGAAAGGAGAAGAAACAAGAATATACACATATTTGATATTTTTGCAAGATGAAATGCTATAAGGGTAAATTAAGAACGAAAATGAAAATAAGAATGACAATGGTTACCTATTTGGTGGCGGAGAACAACAGTAGAAGTGATACTTCTAAGAACATCTTTTTTACATACCTTAGTTTTCACATGTTCGAAAAAATTTACAGAAAAAAGAAACCATAAAATTAAACACAAACAGATACAAATGAATCTAATTGTATATATAATTAGTAACATGAACAGGAAAAAAGAATTATTTCAAGTTACTTGGAAGAATATTCTGACTACAAACTCTCAGTGGGATATACTCTGAGGAGAAGAACCACAGTACATATAGTCAGCAGTGATACCGACATTGTAATTTTGAAACTATTTTTTATTGTTGTAAAATTAAACAAATAAGCCCACATCTCAATGTTAAGAACAATTATTTTCAGTGTAAAAGAAAAAAATCTTTGTATGTTAATTTTGAAATAAAAATACTAATATAAACTTTTTTAAATATTAAATTTATTGGGGTGACATTGGTTAATAAAATTACATAAGTTTCAAGTGTACAATTCTATAATACATCTGTATATCTGTATATTGCATTGTGTGTTCATCGCCAATATAAACTTTTTTAAAGCACAGTTTCTAACTCTGTTCACTGAAAGAGCCTAGAAATAATGCACACACTTAGCACATCTTGGTTTCTAAATACCACTGCCTCTAAAAAGATACCAGGCTTCTGGAAACAGCTGATTCCAAGGCTGGGAAGTGAAAATACAAGTGAGCCCAGGACACCTTGCAGTGCTACAAAACAGGAAGCACCCAATGAATGATGGAGACATGTCAAAAAGACAGGAGCTAGCCAATCGGAACCTCAGGTAGAATGACTCATTGATTATATATAATGCAGCAAATAAATATGAATGCATGAGTCCATGGTTCAACAACAAAAAAACCCACAAAAAAAGGGGGGAAGGGAGAGAAAAGGAAAACTCTTGAAAGAATGCCAGCTAACAGATGTAGAAAAAGAATTAGAAAATAACAATTTTTCTGGGGGAGGGAGATTATCACTTTGTGAGGGGTGAAATGTCTAACTAGTACATTGTTTTGTACACCTAAAACTAATAAAAAAATTTAAAAATAAAAATAACCTAAAAAAAAAAAGAAAGAAAATAACCATTTTTCAAAGACCAATGTAATAAATGGTTCAGACAGGGATCACCAATGGATGCTAAACCCACTGGGGATGCTGTTGGGGAATAGGATGTGCCTAAGTGTCATCCTGTATGTTGTTTACTAACCATACAGGGGGAAAAAATGTCCCTTTATAAAGGACAAATATGGCAGACACCACCTGAATGAAGCAAGTGATCAAATTTGCCCACTCACAACAGGAAAACCAGACCTTCTGCTTCCTGATATGCTCCAATGCCAAATACACAGCATCAACCGAGAAACATTCCTGCCAAAAACGTGGAACGTGAGTCGAATCAAGTCTCCAGACCCAACAACCACTTCACAGGAAAAATAGGGGACAGAGGGACAAGTTAAATGATACCATCAGGAAATTATTAGACACTTCTGGAAACAAGTAGGACCCTCTATGAAACAACTGGTCTTGTAGAGTAAGTCAATATCATGGGAAAAGAAAAAAAAGATATGGGATGGGGGAGATGTTTCTGTTCTATAGTAAGAGGTTAAAAAGACGTAATAATTGAATTCGTAACAACTCAACTATGAGTGGATCCTGAAGGTAGAGACAATCTTAAGGAGATATGAAAATGGACCATTAAGACATCAAAGAATGAGTGTTTCCTTTCTTAGGTATGATAATGGTCTTGAAGTGGTAGAGGAGAATCTCCTTCTTCTCAGGAGAGGCCTACTGATTTAGGAGTAAAGTATCCTGATACCTATAAATTACTTTCAAAGAGTTCAACAAAAAACCCAGAATTATGTATACATATACGTAAAGCAAAAGTGGCAAACGTTAAAATTACCAAATCTAACTGGATATTTGAAATTATGTTCAAATAATTAAAAAACTGGGGGAGGGAGATAGATTGGATAAATCAATAGGCACAGCAACTAAAAGATACCAATTAGAGTTATCAACATAAATAAACCTCAGAAATATGTCCAGCAAAGACAGCCGTGTCAAGAATGATGAACCCATGATGTGATGCCATTTAGATGAAATATAAAACCATGAGAAATAATTCCATACATTCCTTCCAGACACATGCTTTTGTAGCAACAGTAAATGCACACCCAAAGCAAAAATAAGACAGACTGACCCCTTGGGCTCCTTCCTTGATGGGCCAGGACTGGGGAGGTTCATCAGGGTTCAGAAAGAAGAAAGGGACGCCATCGTCATGCCCACCCGACTGAGCTCACCTGTCTCCCACTGGCCCTGCTGAGCATCTGAAGAACTGCTTGGCTGCCGACGGCGACGGCAGCTGCCCTCTGTCCTCTTTGAAGAAGAGCTGCAGTTGCCATAGTTGTAGCGTTCTGGAGACACTGTGGGGAGAGAATGGAAAGAAGTATTCAGAGCCTCCAGCCCCTCCCAGGCCTAGCCTCCAATTCTCATCCCCTGAGATGAATGCCTGCCCCACAGGGTATCTGGGTCCCCCAGAGGTCAGAGACCAGATACCCACTCCCCATCCAACACCTCCTGCCTAGTGGTTGCTCGATGTCTTCTGACATAGAGGACTCATCACCTCCGGGGGCCACGCGACCCGTGTCTACAACAGCTCCAAATTATTCCGTAAACTGACTCATGGTCAGGATCCCTACAATGTTGCCCATCAACTGCTCCCAGCTCTCCCTGAGGCCCCAAGGAGTAAGCAGGCCTCTCTGCAGACCCCAAATCTCTTCCAGAGCCTGACCTCCGGATACATTTTTTCAAAAGTGCTGTCAGTTCATCCCTAGTGCTGCCCTTCTCCTGGTTATCTAAATCCATGGGCTAACCATGGGCAGGGTCATCTCACAATCCCCCTCCTCAAACTAGCTACTGCACCTTTAGTACCCCAGCCACTGTCTCAACAGCTCAAGGTCTACGCGGGTGGTTCTTGTGCCTTAAATCCTCCCAGCTCTTCAGGACTGCTATCCTTCCCTCACAAGGATTAAGCGCATCAACTCTGGACACCAGCCAACTGGGTTTGAATTCTAGCTCCCACTTTCTAGCTGTGTTATCTGCAAGCCCCGGTGATGTGGCTTCTCATCTACCTCTGCCCTTGCTTCGGTCCCTTCTGCTCCTGCCACACTGGCTTCTCATGATGCCAAATTCATTCCTGCTTCAAGGCTTGAAAGCTTGCCTTTCTCTCTCCCTAGAATTTTTCTCCTCTGAGATCCATGCACGGTGGCATCAGTTCAGCCTCAGTTCAAATGTCACCTCGGAAAGGTCTTGACTGGTTATCCAATCTAAGGGGGCCTCCCTTCCTTCACTTAGAGGAACTCCCTACTCTGTATATTCCATTACTTTGTTTTAGTCTTTCTACAACCATATGTAAAAATAAACTGTTTATCTGTTTTAATGTCTGATTCCCCTATTAAATGTAAGCCTCATGCAACAAATACTTTTGTCAGTTGGTCACCTGTATCTTCTGTGTGGGGCATACAGGATTCAGTTCTTATATGTAGGCAAGCTGCTTAACTTCTCTGAACCTGATGTTTTCCCTGCACAGTGGGACAGTAACAGGCTTCCTCATTGGATTACCAGAAGGATATAAGGTGACAGTTCATATGAAGGACTTATGCTGTGCCTGGCACGAAATAAGCCCTCCAAAACGTGGCCACAAACATCATTATTGATGTGGCCAAATTCCATCAGCTCGCCCCTCCCAAAGCGATGCCTCCTCCCTCTTGTGTTTCTCATTGATACTCTGAGAAGGGGAGAGTAGGATGGGACATAGGCTGTCTGATTCGGCGCTGTCCATATCAGGGCACCATGGGGGCCCAGATGGGGGAACACGGCCCTCTCCCCACCGGAAGTCTCTCGCCCTCCCCTTCAACCATACCTGGCCGGCGCCGCTTGCGCGCGAGGTGCGGCAGCAAGTCGTGCCGGGCCAACACTCGCAGGAGCTGCCCTAGAAAACGCAGGTTGCTCTCGTCGCACTGCCCGCGACGCTCCAGCTCCAGCAGCAGCTCCAGGCCGCTACGGGCGCGGGACAGGCCGCCGGCGGCGCCGGGAACCTCGTCCAGCAGGAAAGCCAGCAGCTCCAGTTCACACTCGGTCAGCTGCCCGCCCACGACCTCGAACATACGGTGAAGCGACAGCATCCCGTAGTAGTCCAGGCACTCATCCTCCTCCCAGCTCGGGGCAGGGGTCGACCCGGACAGCGCCATACCCGGGGGAGAGGGGCGGAACAAGCTCGAACCAGGGCCTAGAACCCACTCAACGGGGAGGGGGGGAGGTCAGCGACGCGGGGGTCCCCGCCAGTGCGTCTCCCAATCCCCATCCCGCGGGGCAGGGCCACCCTCACACTTCAGCCGTCTCAGCCTCCCCCTTCCCCGGAAAGGAATGGTATCGCCCGAGGTCCCCTAGTAACAGGTCAACATGCCAGACCCCACTAGACCTCCGATTAGTCAGGCCTGCAGAGTCCGAACGCCCCTCCCCAAGTGGTATGTTCCGAACCAGCCTCCGGAACCGACCAAGTAAGTCGGTCCCAACAAGACTGCGGGCCCACCCCGAGGCACCCTGCCGACTGCCCTTTTGACTCTGGGTAGTACCGTCTGGACGTGACCCTCGACTCCGTCCAGTAGTACTGTCCGATCAGCCTCACCGCTCCACCCACTTGGTACCATCCCAAAGTGACCCTCTGCCCCCTACAAGCGGGACCGACTCTAAGAAGCCCTTCTCTCCACACAGGTGGTGCTGTCCGAACCCGACCCCCTCGCCTTGTAAGGGTGGTACCGCCCTCTCCCCAGCACCCAGGTGGTTCCGTCTACCCGCCACCAGTCGCCCTTAGGCCTCTCTGGATCCTTACCGGAATCCGGCGTCTAATGACTCCTGGGCGACGGCCGCAGCCACTTGTTTTGGATCTTTCTGGCACCTTCTCTATTATTACGCCTGCGTCACCTCGCCCCTCCTCCTTCCCCCAACTCGCGCAGGTGCGACCGCCACGCCCCTTAGGCGCAAGCGCAGAGTGAGGCTTTTAAGCCCCACCCCTCCAGGCCTGCCCCCAACGGTAGCGCCTGGGTCGGCCTGTGCTGCGCCTGCGCAAAGCGTGAGTGGTTCCGCGTCTGAGTTGGATTTGGTACTCAGTTGCAGGATTGCTTCTGCCGGCTCGTGACGTAAGTCGCCGGGTCCTTATTGCCCTACGTCACGACCTTTCGGAACTACTCATTTCATGGACTACAACCCCGTCTTAAGCACGTCATAGACGCCTACATTACCCCAGCTGCCCATAGCAAAGGACCACAATCACGACGGTCCTGGCTCCGAGTAGTGCCCAGGTCCTTATGATCGGGACTTAGACGCCCCTCCATTAGACTGCCCCTTACTCCCAATGGCAACCAGGAATCCGCAACCCAGCTGTGCCATCTCATGATCCTGACTAGAATCCCTCCTCGTCCAACACGCCCCCGTCCCCCATCATAAGGTCCTTCTGAGCAAGACAAGGACTCCCTCACCTCATGTTAGGAATCAATACCTCCTTCCAGATTTCAATAGGCCCCTCCAGCATCTCCTGATGGCGCCCATCATGAACCCCCTTGCCCCCATAACTCCCAGTCTCTGCCCTCCAAGGTCACGAGACCTCCCAATATTCCCTCTCTAACCTGCACCTGGTGTCCAGGCTGCATGGGGGAGCTCCCAACTTACGTGACTCAAGGTCAGGGCCCGCACGTGCCTGGATCAAGTCCCCTCCTGGACTGGTTCCCACTTCCGGAATTATCTCCCCTTTGGAGGCGGGAGACCTAGGTCCTGCCTGGCCCTGATTCAGCACTGGCTCTGCTTGGGCTGCAGCAGTGACCTCTGAAGAGTCCCCTTCTTTGATGGCAACTGTAACCTATTGAAGCCCAGTCCTGGGTTGGACACACAGTGGTGTCCAATCAGCGAATACGTATCATTAAATTAACCAAAGAGTGGGAGGGAAGGGAATGAAAACTGGGAAAGGACTACGTCCACGTTAAATGAGTGACAGTGAGCACCCACGATATATCAGGCTCTCTGCTGAGCGTTTTTATGTGTTTGATTTAATCCAATCCCATCAACAGCCTTGGATATGATTCCAGCCCATTTTACACAGGAATAAAAGTGAGACCCAGAGAGGGGAATTACCCCAAGGGTGTCTGGCTCCAAAGCTGTGCTCTCAGAGATGCTCATTCTCTTCAGCTATGAAATGACACCTCTGTCAAGGTCTATCGCCGCCCAGTCCACTCCATGGGCCCTCGCTTTCCAGTGGTGCCCATTTCACTCCACTTAACTTTTAGATTAATCCGAGGAACGGCCCGGGAGAACTGCGCAAGCGCTTCTGCGGGCCCGGAGCCCAGCCCATAGAGCACAGTTGCGTGCGTGGAGAAACTCGCCTAGCCCCGCCTGAGCTTCAACACGCAGACTCAAGGGCGCGTGTCCTACGCTGCCGGCTCCGATTGGTCGCCACGAGTAAGGGAGCCGCCCAATGGGAGGTGTGGATAGTGAGGGGTCCCGCACGCCTAGAGCCGAGGGTCTGTGTCAAGAGCGGCGGGGGCTGCAGGAGGCGAGAGAGACGGGTGAGGGCGCCGCGTGAAGGCAGCGCTGGGCGTACGGAGAGGGTGGAGGGAGAACGAAGGGGACACCGGAGGTTGAAGAGGTTTGGGGCCTGTGCTAGGGAGGGAGCGGCGCGGAGTGGAAGGTGAGCGCTTCTTCCTAAATGCCCTGGAGCATTGATTGAGCTCCCGCGGTGTGAAGGACCTTACGCTTGAGCTCGCCGGCCCCCACTCCTTGCAGCGAGCTCTTAGGTTGTGGAGTTGATATGTCTGGCCAGAGAAAAGGGATGTGTAGCTGTGTAGCGGGAAAGTTGAACTTCCAGGCCCCTGGTGTGTTCTTTCCTGGAAGGATTTATTGATCTGCATAGAAAGCCCCCATTCCTACCCCCCTCCCAATAGTTCACAGTCCAAGATTGGGAAGGGGGTAATGTAAACGAGGAAAGTCCAAGTGTTAGGTCTCTCGGACACCTTCTAGAGGGATCCTTTATCGAATGGCTGTTGTGTGCAGGATCCTGGCAACTCAAAAATTAGTGAAGGAGTTAAGGAAAGTTTAGCTCCTGGGCTTTTAGTTACTCATTTACTCAAGGAGCATTTATTGGGCACCAACTGAAAGCAGGGCCCTGTGCTGGATTGTTATTGTGGGAGTTCACCGGCAAATGGGAGAGTTGGTCCGGTGGGAGAAGTGGAATGTGCACAGGGACATTTAAATTGCCAGGGCCTCACTTCCTGAAGGAACATTATTCATTCCCTAAATATCTACTCAGTGCCTGTTGTGTGCTAAGCATTGTTCTTGGCACTGGAAATATATCAGTGATGAACAGACTAAAATCCCTGACCCCTGGGAGCTTAATATGAGCAACTTTTGTGTGTCAGGCTGTAAACTGAAGTCCCCCTGCCTTCTGGCACTAGCAGATGAGTTAAAGAAGAGATGGAGAAGGTAGAGACTGAATTCGGAAAATTAGCTCCTAGGCCTGTGAGGAGGGCAGTCATTTGCTGAAGGGACCCTGAGCCCCTGTATGTGAAGGGGCCTGGGTTGGGTTGAGTCCACACATCTAGAAGGGGAGATGGGGCACATAGAGAAAAGTTCAAAAGTTAAAATCCCTGACACTGGTCAATGGTTTTGTTGGTGACAGCAGCCCCTACAACGAATCTGACCTGTCCTGCCTACAGGCTCAGTGAGGAGCACAGAGACTTCATCCCAAGTTCATGATAATGGCTATGATAGAGGTGGCACAGGATACCATAGGAACTCCAAGGAGAAGGGAGTGGCCCACTAGCCTGAAGATGGAAACATGTTGTCAGAAAAGGCTTCACAAAGACAGTGCTGGGGAGGCGTTTGCTAGACAAGAAGAGGAGAGAACTTTCTTGGCAGAAGGAATAGCAGCATCAAAGACCTAGGGTCCAAAAGCATTTCTGGATTATTACAAGTGCTGCTTGCTAACTTGTATCAATTACCAGGGACTTTGTGGTCAGTACTACTTTTAGCCCCATTTCACAAGTGAGAAGACAGTCTGAGAGAGGAAGTAAGTGATGGAGCTCAGATTCAGGCCAAGGGCAGTCTGGTTCCAGGGACTGAGTTCTTAATCACTTTGCTTTACTGCATCTCTGTGTCTCCATGTAGGAGGAGGAAAGGTGCTGCACAGTGAGGGAATTGTAGGCAAAGGCCAAGAGGCCCAAAAAGACGTGTGTTCTCAGAAAGGGTGTGACTGGCCCTCTGGGTAAGAAGGGCAGCATCAGAGGCTAGACTGAGGAGGGGTGTCTCTCTCCTGCAGATGCCTGGCCACTTGGGGCATGTGTCAGCTTTAGAGTCACAGGCTCATTGAAGACTAGGGCATAAACACTAGATCCAGACTCGCTGACTGACAAAGGCTGGTGAGTGACAGGATGAGCAAGGGAACTCCTGAGACATCCTCCCTCCTCTTGGATTCCTGGTGTCTCACCAGCTGCCTTCTTTCTCCAGGCACTGCCTTCCCCACTATGGCAGAGGTGGTGGCTGAAGTAGCTGAGATGGCCGAGATGCCAACACAGATGTCACCAGGGGCAATGGAGATGTCAATACCGATGTTTGGGGAGATGATGGAGATGTCAACAGAGGTGACTGAGATGAAGCCCGGGGAGGCACTTGCCTCATCCCTCTTCTTCCAGCACCACCAGTTCATGTGCTCTGAGTGTGGTAGCCTGTACAACACACTGGAGGAAGTCATCTCACACCAGGAGCAGCATGTGCCCACTGTCACAGAGGAGGAGGCGCTGACCACCCAGGATGCTGGCCTGGAGCCAGAGCTAGTGCCAGGTGCTGAGGATGGGCCTTTCCAGTGTGGTGAGTGCAACCAGCTCATTCTCTCCCATGGTGAGCTCCTGGCCCACCAGGACGCCCATCTCCGGGAGTCTGCAAGCCAGATCCAGTACCAGTGTGGGGACTGTCAGGAGCTGTTCCCCTCACCTGAGCTGTGGGTAGCTCATCGAAAGGCCCAGCACCTTTCTACTACAGCAGCCGAACCACCAACACCATCCCCTCTGCCTCCTCCAACACCACCACCTCCACCCCCTGCTCCACCCGAAGTCCAGATGGAACCCTATGAGTGTCCTGAGTGCTGCACCCTCTGTGCCACCCCTGAGGAGTTCCTGGAGCATCAAGGCACCCATTTTGACTCCCTAGAGAAAGAGGAGCGCAATGGGCTAGAGGAGGAGGAGGAAGGTGAGGAGGGTGAAGAGGAGGATGAAGACACAGAGGAGGAAGAGGAGGCAGTGCGGGCTGCAGAGCTTGGTGGTGATGCTGTGGGAGATGGCAAAACCACAGCCGGCTGGGCTCAAGGCTGTGGGGATTATCCCCAGCACTGGACCTCGGCAGGGGCGCGCCGGAGACACCGGTTGGCATCCCGAGCCACAGCGTCAACGACCCACCCCTTCCGCTGCAGCCAGTGCCAGCGCAGCTTCAGCTCAGCAAACCGGCTACTGGCTCACGGGCGAGCACACGTTGGTGGCACCCACGAGTGTCCAACATGCTTCAAGGTCTTCAAAAAACCAGCCTCGCTGGAGCAGCACCTGCGGCTGCACCGTGGCGAAGCCCGCTACCTCTGCGTGGACTGTGGTCGTGGCTTCAGCACAGAACTCACGCTGGTGGCGCACCGGCGGGCCCACACCAGCAACCCACTGCATCGCTGCCGCTGCGGCAAGACATTCAGCAACATGACCAAGTTCCTCTACCACCGGCGTACCCATGCAGGCAAGAGCGGGGCACCCCCCACCACCGCAGCGGCCTCCCCCACACCAACCGAACCCCC